AGGCCCGTTTTCGGGCCCGTCGAGTCTGGACCTGGCGGACCGTCAGGTCTAGCCCTTCTGGTCTGTCCGGTCTGGACCCTTCTGTCTCGGTTTTTTCGTCGTTTTCTCGTGCGTTTTGTTCTTCCCTGCGTGTGTGACCCTGTAGGCTCATTCGATATAGCAGTATAACCCGAAATCTCTATTTCGGATATACAAGTCATAGGCGGTCTCTAGCAAGACACTATGACTACCTATCTCGAATAGAGTTTGTTCGTGATCTTACGAACGCCAGTGATGATTCCGGCTGATGATACTTTTGTATCACGATATCATAAGTCAAACATAAGGCATGGACTGGCCACCTTATCTGATTCGACTGCTTTCTCGTTCACTGAGTTCGACTGTACGAAATAGACGACATTCGTCTATAGTGCGGCCACATTTCACAGTCTCGCTCACACGAGGGGCCCAGCGATATCTCTCTCTTTTACGAGAGGTACAAATCCCATCTTGACTATCTACAATCCAACACATGATTCGTTTCGTACCTGATACACGCCTTTATAGTCCTCCTGTTATGCAGGACGTTTGACGTATTCAAAGTACACAACTCCTCATGTTGGATTCCGTAGATATCTCAGGTCTTAGAATCCAATCATGGAACCGTCATATGAGATTCAAATCATGACGTTAGTCCATGTGACAATCTCATGCGGGTCAATCCAGTATTCCGTTCTCCAACGAATACCTATGATTGTGATTGTATCCAATACCTATGATCATCTCTATGATCATCAATCACACATCATACTAGTCTTATTACATCATTATTCCCACAATGACATACAACTAGGGAGTTTAGTATTGTTCATAACAATACATGGATATCATAACATATCAAATATACAAAACATGTAATGAATAAAACACTCATCCATAAACCATAGAAAGTGTCAATACATCAAATGTATCTAAATAAAGCTCGCATAACAGTACATGATAGAGCACTAAACCAACACTCCGGATATCCGAATTTTCGGTTCGGATACGAATCGGATAACGGATCGATTCGGTTTTTTCGGATATCATGCCACCCCTACCTCGGGGGATACAGTGGAATGGAATCTGCCGAAGACTCTCCATCCTCTAGAGGGTTTCTAATATGATTTCACAGTGCAATGCTGATTTTTTTTATTCAATAGATTTCATGGTATTTTTCTCAATTTATAATTAAATTAAAATACATTATATCTGTCTAGATTTACAATCTATAATCTTTTTCTATGGTATATCCATGCGTATAATTATTTTTAAATTTACAGAACATAATTGGGTTTTTTAATTGTCTAAAATCTGCTAGTATATCTAAAAATCTGCAAATTTGTTTAGTAACAGTATAAAAATGTATATCAAACAACCCTTTCTCTGTGGGTTCATTGGGCCTTTAATGGCCCTTTAAATTATGGGAGATGTTGCTTCGTTTTTACTCCTTCAGATAAAGGCCCAAAGGATGCGCACACGTATTTACCAAAATAACCCTCGAGAGCTCCTACCCTATCGTCGTCCCCGGCGCCGGCCGGAGCGGTCCCACCGCTTATCCTCAGGTACGCGCTTCTTTCGGTATGTCAGACGTACGGCGAAGATTTCCAGAGTTTTGTTTGGCTCCCAGGAAAATTATATGACGCGAGAAAATCAAAATGGAAGTTGTATAGGTTTTTCTCAGCTTCCGATGTAGCTTGCGGAAATCGGAGAACGATGAGATAATCGCTGTGGTATTACGACATTGTTATTAAGTTATATGTGTTTGATTTCTAAGTTCTGTTGGTTCCAGAGAGATTTGGAGAGAGACCTGAACAGTGGAGATTATGAGAAGGAATGCGGATCATCGGTTCATGTATTTTTGTTTCCCTGAATTTCTTTCTGATTCCAAATTCATGTTTGGTTTCCGAGAAATCTATGGAAAAGTATCGATTACAGCTAATTTACAGCCTGACGTTTCCGCAGCAGGCTTGGCTACAGGTTTTTGCATGTGTGAGTGTGACTGTCTCCCTTTTTGTTTCTTCTTGGTTTCATTAATCGGACAGTGTGATTTTGTTTGGTTGTGGCCAAACTTTGTGTGAATCCAAGCAGGCATACCTGTCAAGATTTTGATGTTTTCACACACGTTTTCTCTGAGTTCTATTGGATTCATCAGGTAACTTGGATAAGGTAAATTATGTCTCATTCTTGTGGCAATGAATTCATCACTATTTTGTCTGTTTGAATAGTAAGCATGTCAGATATATCCGAGATTTACGGATTCAGGTATGATGACAAGAAATATCTGTCCCGATGCTGATATGTTGTAATCCCTGGAATCCATGGTTATCTTCTGGTTTCTCCTTAAGTCATAGTCGTTAGCAAGGCCCCCGAAATCCTGTTTGTTATGTATCTCTCCTCGTTGAATGTTGAAGTCAGTCATAGAAATTAGCTGATCATGAAATAAAGGGCATAAAGTTACCAAATGCTAAGTGAAAATATGTGTTCTATGCTAGGACGCTGTTATGGGTACACATGCATATTGTGTATATATACACACACACATGTCGTGTACACATTGTGTATAATCTATGTGCCTATGTATGTGGATACTTGGCATCACATAAGAATTTGTCCTCAGAGGACAAAGAGCGTGTGTTTTCTGTCCTATGTTTACTGATTTGGGGTCTAACAATGAGAACATTGGATGCCTGATGTTTCATGTTTTTTGGCCAACTGTATTTGGACCAATGCTTCATTCATTGTGTTTTCCTTCTAAAGTCCGTGCTTCTTGTTATCATCACCGTAACAGTCACTGCTTTCCATATTTTGGTTCTGTTCTGTTTGAGTGTCAATAGCCAGATTTGAAAAAAGAATGATTGTTCTAACTTTTAGGTAAACCCACTTTGACATTACTATATCATTAACTTTTTCCTTGCTATTATGACACCAAATCTTCCCATGGATCTCGTATCATCTCTTTGATTTTGGCTTTTATGCGCAGGTTTCATATAGTATGGTAGTCCTAAAGTTTACTCCATAGAGAAACCCCTTTTACTTTCCTGGAAATTGAACTGCTTTTGTGATTCTTTGGTGTTTACCTGAAATCCAGAGTCTCTAGAAATCAAGACTGGGTAGAATAGTGAGCATGGCGTTCGAAATTTGTATACTGGACAAAATATACACAACTAGTGCTTAACTCTTTGAATATCGGTGCAAATATGAATCACAGGACAAGTAGAAGAAATAATACACAAACAGAGTGGAGAAACCAAGAAAAAGGGTCAGAGCTTGAGGGACAAATCAAGCTGCTGGTAATCTTCGTGATGATTATCTTTATATAGACCTCTTTCTTCTCCCCACCAAAGTTCGGGATTCGGGGAACCTGTCACAATCCTTCCTACGTTGAACCTACCAACTTTCATGTGATGATTCTCCATTGAAGAGAGCTTTCCTATTGCAGGTTGCTGATCAAGAGGTAGTCTTGACCGGTCGACCTGTCCGTGCTGTCCTCCAAACCCATTGTAAGAACTCAGCTTATGACTCATGGAATGTGCCTGAATTCCCAAGGATCTGTTGCTGTAATGTCCGTGGAAGGGCATAGGGGTGAAACCGTACGGATGCCCGAAAGCTGCAGCTGATGAAATCCGTTGCCCTCTCTTAGCCAGCATCCTCTCTCTTTTGTGGGCGTTTTGGTGGCCGCCTAACGCCTGTGAGCTGTAGAACGTCCTTTGACAGTAGTTGCATGGGAAATGCTTTTGTTCTGTGGCGGTTCCTTGGTAACTCTGAGTGACAGTCGCCTCTAAGCAGTCTATGAGGTTGAGTTCTTGATTGAACCGTTGACCAGAATCAAACCCTGTAAGCAGAAGGTTCGGTCTTATACCTTCCTGTCCTTCTTTGTCATGACCTTCTACTTCTCGCAAATCTGCTGCTGCTGCATCTTTGTTGTTCCTTTCTAGGTTCTGCTGTTGTAGAGGATACGAGCATGGAAGAGCTGAGGATGTGGAATCGATGCACGAGGAGTAAGACGGTCTTGGCTCCTCCCTCCACGCTTCCATGAGTGGCCAACAAGGGAAGAAATTTCTCCAGGTAACGAGTTCCTCCTCTTCTATATTCTCTCTCTGTGTCTCTGTGTCTGACTAATAACGGAACCTCCAGAGCAAGCATATAAAGGAGAAATCAAAGGGTATGGGGATCTCTGTTTCTCTCTCTCAATGGGTGGAGTAAACGTTGATGCTATATAAGGAAAAACTATACCCTACACTACAACTTTTTTTTTTTTTGGTTTGGCAATAAGGAGAAAAGTACTAAGAACATGAGATATTGGCAGGTTTGGTTTGCTGTCACACTCACGCGCGCACATACACAAGAAAGCACTTAAATCTGATTGGAACTCCACCATCTAAATGCCTGTATGTATCCGTTATAGGGGCTTTCATTTCACATCAATGCCCCTCTTCCTTTTTTTGGCTGCTTCCTCCTTCAATAACCATTTCCATATATTGCATGTCAACAAGGTTTTTCCTCCCAAGTATTATGACCGTATATTGCCATAAAACCCCTCAACAAAGAAAATTCATGATTTTAACTTTTAAAATTCTGTAAATTTGAGAGAAAACATAGCCCAAAGAATGTAAATATTTGGCATTTATACAACCGCAACCACACAGGAACATATTAGGCGTAATCACTTGGACCCTTTTACCATGTTGACCCTAGTTGCTTTTCCTTTTGCATGCATATGTTAGCATTTCATCTGTTGAGAGCCTCCTTTATAGAAAAGCAGTGAGGAAATTGACAAACACTATTATGAAGGCTTTGACTTTTCTTAATCGTCACGAAGCTGCAAACTCCTTTTCCTTTGGGGTGTACAGCTGATGAAAGGACATGTTGTGTAATTCGCAGACGATGAAGATGACAATGAAAAGGATGTAAAAGGGAGAGAGAAATTATTCAGGTATGTCTTTGTGTACTTTTGAAACTGCATGAGGGAAGTAGGCATGTCTGTCTGTGTCCTTTAGCTTCCTCTTATTGTTGATAGTTGCTTTACTTCTGTTGTGGGCCTCCATCATTTCTCCCCTAATGTTTCTTTCTTTTGTCCCCTTTCTCTTCTTCTTCGCTAAGTTTTGCCTCCATTTACACATCCCATCTCATCATTATTCAGTATTATATCCTTTTATGTACTGATTTAAGATCTCCTAGTCGTAAGAAACCTCAGCAACTTGAAACACTATTGGTCTTGGAAGCCCCCTTTTTTTCCCCTTCAGTTCAGAGATTGTGTTAGGATCTGTATGGCTTGAACTTGTGATTATTTTGGAAGTCAAACAAGAACCAAAAACCCTAGAAACCTTGTTTGGAATTCTCAACTCCTAAGCACAGTTCTATCGTAGCACTCTTTTCTTTTGGTTAGACAGTGAATGGCGTTGAATTTCCTGTGAACTTCCCTTTCTTAGTGTTGTATTTGTCATCATGTTCCAAGTAAGAAACCTTTAGCCCTTCATTATTCAGAAAAGCTTGGTGGGATATTTGGCTTTACAGGCCATGTTTTAATTGATTTTATTATTAATATCGTTTGGTTTCATGATAGATTTCACTCACCCCCTTTCTTTCTTTCTTTTTTTCTGGTTGCACCTAATGCTGAAAACTTTTTCCTGATTGAACCACTGTGCTGTTCAAACTTCAAACCCACTTGAGAGGAGTTGAAAGTCTTATCCTTTTCTTCTTCTTTTTCCTTTCTTTTGGGAACGCACACAAACTCTTCCTTCCCGTGTAAAAAGAAAATAGTATTGTATCTTTGCATAGAGATTATGATTTAAAATTTTTAATCTGGATACAAGTATGTATGAAACTATACCACGACATTCGTTTGTTTTCTATTTTTATAAAAAAAAGGAATCTAACGACATTCGAACATAAAGATAACATTTTTGAAATACAAATGACAAAATCCATGTTTTTCCATGCTTGACTCGGATCAAGTTTGCATCAAGATAACTTGTTTGGTTATAATTTTTTTTTTTGGGTAATATCCAAATAAGTCTAAAAACTATAAAATTTCATATATATCATAACTAGTTTTTCAAACGTTATTTATATAAATTAGAAGAAAGTTAATATGTATTCAGACGTATACATGCATATATACATATTTTATATTTAACTATTAATTGCACAAGCATACACATAAAAATTTACGCATATCAGCGAATATACATATATATATATATATAAACATGCATATACACACGATAAATCCGAAAAAAATCGAAATCTAACCGAATCAAACCGATTAAAAAAATAATCGAAAAAAATTGATTTTTTTTGAAAAAAAATAGTTTTTTACATTAAAAAAATCGAATACAAATCGAACTGAAATTTATATAAAACACGAATGGTTACAGTTTTTCTATAATCAAAATAAACGAATTCGAATATAATCAAAGTTAGAAACCTGAAATGACCATCATCACTACATAATAGAATATGGAATTTATGAATATTGAGATTGGAAGTATGGTTACAAGCATTGACACGATGATACCATTGGATTTTTTTTTGAAAGAAAAAAAATAGTTTTCTAGAGACGGAATCAACGAAGAAGAAGGGTTTAGGGTTTTAGATTTAAATCAGTAAATGAAATGAATGGCTTTTTCAAAGCCTTGACTTTTGGGTCAGACAGAGAAAATCTAACTAAAGAGATTTGGTTGATTTTCTGATTAGACAAAGCAATTGGTACATTTGGAATCTCACTCATGTGGAGTGTTTGTCTTACATCACTTCTCCTCCACCTCCTTTCTCAAGTTCCTTTATATATAATCTAATCCTTTTTGTGTTAGTGTGCACATAGATTCATATATTTAAATAAAGTTATATCATGGTCACTAATCAATGACTCTATATAGACTCTATACAAATATTAAATATTCACGAGTAGCCTTGCACATGAAATGATTTTTTATCGTATAGATCATGACTCATCTATGTAAATGATAACACTAATAGATCATGTTTAGCTATTTTTTCTCTCAAATATTTCTAACCATTGTAAAGATTAGGAAGATATTTGTCTCTTTTAGTGTGAACCTAGGGTTTTAAATGGAGGATTATATATTTTAGGATTTTGGTTTATTTATTATTGGATTTGATTTTTTAAAATTTTATAAAAGTTATATATTCAGTGCTGGTATATCTAATTTTTTTGTTTTTACCCGGTTTTTCAATAAAAGTTATTATTGGAAGATATTTTGTTTTGAAAAAGTTATGCATAAACAGTTTTTAAATTTAATTTGGTTCGGATAACTATATACATGTTACGCATTCAGTTCCCTTTGATTCAGTTTTGATATCTAATCAAAATATACAAACTATAAATGCCGCAAATATTACATCTATTACCCAACTTTTGCTAACTTCTATTAATTATTTTTCCATTCGAATTTGATAAAAATCCAATCAATGGCTACACTACACTTAACTTTCGGCAGCCATACAATTTCCACTTCATATAGCGTTGTCCAATGATATCTAACAGAATTTGAATAAAAGAGGAAATCATATACAATAGATCAAGACTTCATGAAATTGTACCTAACTATTGAAGTGTTTATATATATATATATATATGGTTGAAAAGTGCTTTAATATATAATATAGAAACTATATACTTTGTACCAAATAATAGAATATGGCGATGGAAGAGGTTAGCTTAGCTACGTTGATAAATTACACATAATGATGAGAATCCACCAATAATAATAATAATAATAATAATAATAAAGTAAAAACTTAAATTAGTTGAGTAGCTTCGCCATTTCTTTGTCGGCCATCGGTCGCATATGGACCCACTGGTTTGATAAGCACACGCGACACATACCCAAGTACTTTAAACTACTAAGAATGGGATCTTTAGATTACATTGGAATAAATTATATTAACGGTTATAAATAAAATATATTTATAGTGGAGCTAACCGTTACTGTTCACACCGATTTACTGTTTATATATACGACCGACCGTATACGTAAACAGTAACTTCGAGATTTCTATAAATAGGCCATTTGAATTCCTCCATTTGTACATTTTCAAGAGAAAAAGTAATAAGAAATACATTATTCTCCATTCTCCTAAAATATCGTTTTCGGTTATAGTTAACGATCTAATATCCAGGTCGTTAATATCTCTTCTGGTTTCATAACACGTTATCAGCACGAACGCTCTTCTATAACCAAAGAAAACGAATATGGCTAAAACTGCGGATCGAGGAGGAGATATATGTTTGGCAGATAGTGCTACAACACATACAATACTGAAAGACAAAGTATTTCTCGAATCTGAGAATAAACAAAAGAAATATTACAACTATATCTGATATTTCTGCTTCATAAGTTAGTAATGATATTATGCATTATTAATATATCTTTTTTGTAATGTTGTTTTGTTCTTGAATAGAAAACAAATATGGCCAAAACTGCGGACCGAAGAGGAGATATATGTTTGGCAGATATTGCTACAACACATACAATTCTGAAAGACAATAAATATTTCTCGAATCGAAGGCTCCGGAAGAGCCGATTTCATTATGCCAGGAGGAACGAAATTTACAATAAAAGACGTATTATTTTCCTCAAAGTCCCAAAGAAATTTATTGAGTTTTAAAGATATTCGACAAAATGGATATCATATTGAAACTATGAATGAGGATGACATTGAGTATTTATATATCACTTCAATCAATTCGAGACAAAAGTATGTGTTGGAAAAATTACCAACTCTATCTTCGGGATTATATTATACTAATATCAATGTGATCGAATCATATGTCATAGTAAACTAGAAGTTTACTGATACGTTCAAAGTTTGGCATGATCGATTGGGTCACCCTGGTGCCATTGTGATGAGAATAATTATCGAAAACTCTCATGGTCACCCATTGAAAAACCAGAAGATTTTTCAATCAGATGAGCTTTCTTGTGATGCATGTTCTAAAAGGAAATTAATAATTAGACCATCACAAGTTAAAATCGGGTATGAATTACCATCATTTTTAGAAAGAATTCATGGTGATATCTGTGGACCCATTCATCTACCATGCAGACCATTTCGATATTTTATGGTATTAATTGATGTTTCAAGCAGATGGTCGCATGCATGCCTTTTATCATTGCGTAATCTGGCATTTATCCGATTCTTAGCCCAAATAATTAAACTAAGGGCACAGTTTCTAGAATACCCGATCAAGAAAGTGAGGCTTGATAATGCTGGAGAATTTACATCATAAGCTTTTGATGATTAATGTGTAGCAATTGGTATCGATGTTGAACATCCAATTGCACACGTACATATACAGAATGGGTTGGCAGAGTCATTAATCAAATGACTTCAACTTATTTCCAGATCATTGATAATGAAAACAAAATTACCCATTTCTATGTGGGGACATGCTATTTTGCATGCTGCATCATTGATTCGTACCAGACCAAGTGCATATCATAAGTATTCTCCATTACAATTAGCATTTGGTCAAGAACCTAATATATCGCATCTCAGAATATTCGGATGGGCGGTATATGTCCCGATTTCTCCACCACAACGTACAAAAATGAGACCACAAAAGAGACTTGGAATATATATTGGGTACGATTCGTCATCCATTATATGATATCTTGAGCCACAAACTGGACATGTTTTTACGGCTCGTTTTGCTGATTATCATTTTAATGAAAATGAATTCCCACCATTAGGGGGAGAATATCATAGAATGGTGGAAAATAGAAATGATCTTAATTGATGTACACCATCATTATCCCACCTTGATCCTCCAGCAAAACAACGAGAACTAGAAGTTCAAAGGATTATACATTTGCAGAATTGTGCAAATCAGTTACCTGATGCATTTGCAGATACAACAAGGGTAACAAGATCATATATAGATGCTGCAAATGTTCCTGCTCGAATTGAAATTCCAAAAGAACAAACGAAAGAAAATTCAAAAAACGATTCCAAAACATGCCTGAAGCATGGACGACCTATTGGTTCTAAAGACAAAAACCCCCGAAAGAGCAAAGGGTCCAAGAAAAATGAAATGCTCGATTCGGAAGAACGCGTTCCAAATCAAAGAAATGAAGTACCTTGTGATGTCGGTACAAATTCAGATAGTGGAAATCATGAGATCTCAATTAATTATATTAGTAACGGTACATTATGGAATCGAAAAGAAATCAAAGAGATTGATGATATATTCTCTTATAATGTATCAAAGAAAATTGATGAAAATGAGAATCCAGAACCCAGATCTATTTCGGAGTGTCAAAGTAGACCAGATTGGAATAAATGGAGAGACGCAATACAAGCTGAATTAGATTCGCTTAATAAGCGAAAGGTATTCGGATATATTGTTATTAAACCGAAAGAAGTTTCTCCTGTTGGATATAAATGGGTGTTTGTGCGGAAAAGAAATGAGCACAACGAAATTGTAAGATATAAAGTCCGTCTTGCCGCACAAGATTTTTTCCAAAGACCATGAGTAGATTACGAGGAAACTTATTCTCCTGTTATGGATGCTACTACATTAGTCTTGCAGTTTCAAAGAATTTAGAAATGCGTCTCATGGATATTGTTACTGCTTATTTATATAAGTCACTTGACACGAATATCTATATGAAAGTCCCGGAAGGATTTAAAATGCCCGAAACATTGAAAGCAAAACCGCGAGAGTTATGTGCTGTCAAATTACAATGATCATTGTATGAGCTAAAACAATCAGGACATATGTGGTATAAACGCTTGAGTGAGCATTTATTGAAAAATGGATATATAAATGATCCTATATCACTATGTGCATTTATCAAAAAGACAATGTCTGAGTTTATGATTATTGCTGTATATGTTGATGATTGAAATATCATTGGTACTCCCCGTAAAATCCAGGATGCATCTACTTATTTAAAAGGAGAATTTGAGATGAAAGATCTTGGACAAACCAAGTATTGTCTTGGGCTGCAGATAGAACATTTGAAAGATAGAATCTTTTTGCATCAATCTAATTATACAAAACGAGTATTAAAATGATTCAATATGGATAAGGCAAATCCACTAAGCACCCCGATGGTTAATAGAACATTGGACATTGAAAATGATCCATTTTGTCCTCGCGAAGATAATGAAGAGATATTGGTCCTGAAGTACCATGTTTAAGTGCAATAGGAACTCTTATGTATCTTGCAAATTGAACTAGGCCAGATATATCATTCGCTACTAATCTGTTAGCAAGATACAATTCTGCCACAACACGAAGACATTGGAATGGGGTTAAACATATATTTCGTTACCTTCAAGGTTACTGTTCACACTAACCGTATACGTGAACAATAACTTCGAGATTTCTATAAATAGACCATTTGGGTTCCTCCATTTGTATACTTTCAAGAGAGAAGGTAATAAGAAATACATTCTTCTCTATTATCCTAAAATACCGTTTTCGGTTATACTTAACGATCTAATATCCGGGTCGTTAATATCTCTTATGGGTTCATAATATTAACTGAATTAATCTCCGATTAGAACTTTGTTGATTTAGGTCTTATTTCTTTCGGAAGTCCAAAATTAGCGTTCATATTGCGTTCCAAAATTAGAGTTTGTAGATATTATATTATTCGAGTTTTTTATAATTAATATGATTTTCAATTCGAATTATCAATAAAATTATCACCTATATCCATTACTTTTTAAATTAAAATTGTTTAGATGCATATATATATATATATATATATATAATTATACACCGACATATATACACATTATACACGCGTATACATATATACATATATACACACATATGCAGACAATCATATAAACATGCGTACACATATATACACACATGTACTCATTTATACATTTTTCTAACCATTCAGTTTTTATGTCGGATTCAGTTCAGTTACGGTTATATATTATTTGTTTTGGTTCGATTCAACGTTGCTAATCAAAATGGCCACCCATCCAAAATTTGGCCATGCGCTTAGAGGTCGGAAATCGAATCACGCGCCAACGTGAAATTGTATAATTTGGAGGTACGCCCATGCATTTGACAAATTCGAATACAAAGAAAAAAAGGAACCCAAAAGATTATTAGGAAATTGCCATTAGAGCTACCTGCCGTTTTAGTTTTGGGCCTTTCTGAATGAGAGTAAGTGGGCTTAATTGGGCCTATCGTGCGGTAGCGATGACGACCGGAAACGGCCTAGTGAAAAAAATAAAAGATAATGATCACATACCATAAGATAAATTTTGCTGACTTTGATAGAGAATATTTAGCGCTCGAACCTTTTCCCCCCAATCATTCACATTTATATTCAATGAAACTGTACGTAAAGATGGTACAATGACATGATATTGGAATGAGATATCAATGAAAAATGTCACAGATGTGTAGAAATGGTCAAGTATGATACGAAGTATGCGAATGTGCAATTATATTTTAGGCTCATTGTACGTGGTGGAGAAAATATGCTTGAATGTTTAACTATAAATGTATTTGAAAACATATATAGATAAGTAATAATATATATATATATATATATTAATCACCACAATGGCAACCAAACTTAAAATTTCTAATCGCAATTGGAAAAAAAAAACTAAAATATCATTATTAAAAAAATGTAAAAATATTAATATATATTTTGCTGATAATTTTGTTTATCGTTATGATTTGAGATTATTTTTAGTATTATGTTTTAGTTAAAAAAAATACAATAGTATCACATGATTATATATATTTTAAGTTCAGTAATATTTATTTTTGATATTTTTTCTACTAAATTACTTTTTATTTAAAATAAATTAAATTGATAATATTTATATTTTAATTTTTATTTAATTATTATAAATTTTGTAACTATTTTTTATCAAATGATAATAAAAATTAAATTAAAATTATTTTAAAATTTTATTTTAAAATAATATAATTTTTGGTAATTTATAACAATATATAATCATAACTTCAGTTATACATTCACTTTTAATAGCAATCAGCCCCGCAAATACCATCACCACCAACTTATCAACCATACAATACCAACCATCCACAAAGGTCCTTAAAATGTCACAATACTCAACCACAACCGTAGTGGTATAACTAGTCATCCCTTAAATTTGTTTTTAATTCATTGGTTATCAGTAATAGTAAGCCTTATCACTTTGTCCGTTCCTTATTTTTTCTTTTTGTTTTTTTTTCTATAACAATGGGTGAATGTAAAAAAAAAAAAGGAAAGGAACAGTGAAATCTGCAGTTATATCGCTAATTGGAAATGCATTAAATAATTCCTACCCACTTTTATGAGTATTGTAACGTCCACAACTCGTGTCTTTTAGTCGTTGTTCAAAAGCCTTAAGCTTTCGCATTAGGAAACTCTTTTCTTTAGGTCTCATCGAAGATATTCGTTTGGATTAATTATTATGTGTACATTGATTTTTCCAAGCATATTAACATATACACATCTACTCCAACACCAAAGACATTAAACAGCTACCGTATAATACCGTATCGAGTTGTATTCGAAAATTGTGATTTCATTTATATTCTGACTGACGAATGGGTTTTAATATTAAGTATTTTTCGATATAAAAGATGTAAATATTTGTATATATATATATATATATATATATATGGAACTCAGATTCTATTACTTGTAGTAGTCTCTTGGAATCAACGGCGAAACGTTTAGACAACGTTTGTATCTTGTTGGGGGCATTATCTAAAATATCATCCTTCTACTAAAACTGTTTCTGCACATACTCTCATCCAGATATGACCAGAATAATTATATGGTCATATAATGGTCATATTGGTCATAACGTTAAATTTATGATGATCACACCAAGTCACCATGATCACACCTTACATATCACAATAATCACTTGGTAAATCATCAAAATTTTAACGTTGTGACCAATATGATCATCATGTGACCATACAGTTATTATATTCATATGGTCACATCTTGAGGAGGATATGTACAAAAGTAGTTTTAGTAGAAAGAAAGTATTTTGGATATTTTACCGTCTTGTTGTGTACCAAAATCCCAATGAACATTACGTAGAGATTTTTTTTATTTTTTAATATTATTAAATTAAAAAACCAAAAATTGGAGGGAATCCGAAATTTATAATGGAAGAGCCAAGTTGGATTCTCCTTGAAAGCTATAAATGACCTTACTCTTTTATCTTAATTACGGTTTTATCCCTGACTGTTATTGAAAGGTTTTATATACAATATTTTTGGGCAAAATTCAAGAATACCCTTCGGACGTTGCAGTGCTATCATTGATACACTCTTGAAATTGTAAAAAATTTTCTTATCAGATTTTACACTCCAATGGTGGTAAAATTACTCATATAACCCTGCATATAAAATGTCTTAAATACTCTAACGTATTTTAACTAAAAAACATGCAGTGCAGAAGATAAATATCTGACATATCGAAAAACATGTACTTTTTTTTATTATATGTCAAAACCAATTTATTACGATTCATATACGACTTATTTATGAATTCGTAAATTAGAAAAAATATCTACGTAAAATATGTATTTTGTCGATATTTTATTGAAAGCTGATAGGTATATACTAATTATATCAATAGAAATAGTTTTAAGTCACAAATCACAATTTTATTAAAAACTTTGTATATTTCTTGATATGTAAGACTAAATATATATTAAACTTATATAAACACATTCAACCATATTATATAAAATATATCAAAATATTAAATTTGTAGAAAATATTAATGTAAACCGATTACTATCATCTAATTGGTAGATTTTCATCATCATTTGATAAAATTGAGTCAAAATTCGCGATCTTTTAACAATTTTATAAGAATTCATTGGTGGCAAATAAGTCTTGATTAAGTCATAAATATTTGGTTGTGGTCGATTCTCGAGATAAAACGTCGTTTTTTTATTTTTGGTTAGATCCACTTTTATTTGATCAAATTTGCTATTCTTTTTTTTGTCATTTTTGTTTTTAATATATACGACTTTCTATATTTATTTTTTAAACACAAGACCGATTTCATACAAATTTTGCCACAAATACTTCTCTAATTATTTTTCATTTGACACACGATTGTCAGATTTTTAAATAATTCGCGTTTTAATTTTTCTACGTATTTTTTCTGCTCCTTGTGCTCATTAGATCCTGATTATTCTGGAAAGGATATAAAATTATGCAAAGTGATCACTTACCTTTTCTCCAAACAAAGAAGTTAAACCATTTTAGAATACACTTCATACCATTTTAATCTTCTTATGACATATCTTGTACCACTAGTTGAATCGTGTGACACTTAGCTATCCACATCTATAGATCGCTTTTTTGGAAGAACAGTGTCAAAGTATCTACGAGAATGCTTGACATCATTATTTATGTTTCGTTCTCTAAGTAAAGTTGTTAACTAATTGTTTGATGGGCTTTATATCAAAACGGATAAAAAACTGTCAAAGGTGAAGCAGTCACTGAAAGGTCCCGTAAATGTATCGACATCATTGGTGTTTAAGACATTAGTAGCCGACAAGGTTTTTAAGTACTTTGATGTGGATGTACGTGTTGTTGTTGTGTCTTGCCTTAGTGAGATAATCAGAATAACTATACCCGATACGCCTTACAATGATGAAGAAATGAAGGTATGTCAAGCTGCAACTATACTTTTCTCTTCCTCTCTTCTACCTATCTCTAATTTGTTTTTCTCAATTTGTTTGCGGGATCTCCTACAGTTGATTTGTATCAACGTTTGAGAAACTCAACGATATATCAAGTCATTCTTATGGTAAAAGGATTGTAATTCTTGAGACTACTGCAAGAGTCTAATCATCTGTTGTGATGCTGGATCTTGAATGTGATGCTCTTATCATTAAAATGTTTAATCATTTCTTCCAAACCTTAAGGTGCGAGCTAGTTTATTGCTGATATTTTGTAATGAAGTTCAATTAGAAAATCGGTAATTTCAATATTTTTATTGTGCATTTGTGAATGTTAATTGCTAAGATGAGTTTTTTTATTCTCCAGGGATTATCATCCTGAAGGTCCTCTCCTCCATGATGTCTATCATAACCCTTGTCTTGGAAGAAAGCGAGGAGATCTACAGTTGCTTTATCCTATCTTGGCTTGTCTTCGACAATACAAGGTAAATTTTATAGTAAATTTTATTCTGTGTGGTAAATAACCCTTTTCACACCTCATTTGTCCTAGCCATGCTAATACATTGATAATTATTAGGGAGCTCTGCCAATTGCTCAAAAGCTAGCTGATAATGTGCCCAGAAAATGCGCTAGTAAGGTGAAGCCATACCTGGTAAAGACAGTTGAAACTCTAGGCGTTTCTCTGGGCGATTACAGTCATGTCGTCGTGTCCATATGTCGTGATACGTGTGGCGATGGGGAGCACGATCACGTGTGTTCTGATACATGTGAGGTGTGTACAATAATAGCAGAAACGTGATAAAATTAATGCAGATCTTGAACATTTATTCAGTCTTGCAGTTGTATATTCATTTACGAAACAATGTTTATTTCTTTTATTATTTGTTCTTTATTTTCTTAGTGTGATTATTGATAAAACAATTTTGCTTTAATAAGACAAATCACATAGACGAAGAAATTCCGGTTGAAACAACTCCAGCAGACACTAACATGCTCGATGAAAAGTCTCCTAAGTCAGAAATCAACAATGATGTGACACCGGCTGGGAAGGACGAAATCATGGTTGATTCAGACTCAACAAAAAGTATGGAGGACAACGACAAAACCAATGTGTCCAAGGATGCTGATGGATTAAGCAATGTTGAGAGCAATGGCCTCGGAGCTGAACATACAGGTCCTGATAAGATTTCTGTTGCTGATGGTGATAAGCCAACTGAAACTCAGTCGAGGAAGAGGAAGATCATGGCAAGGATTTTCTCGGCTCGACCAATGAAAACCCATCTTCTGAATTAGCCTTGGCCTCTGAGAATGGGAGAGAGACGAATGATGGAACAGTATGCTCTTTCGGGATTTCAGTATGATTCAATGTTCCTACATTGTTGCGTGTGAATTTGTACTCATTCCCTATCTTCTGTGGTTGATACCAGAAAATGGTTACATCGCCAAAATCTTCTGCTGAAGTAGGCGAAGATGAGCATGATTCAAAGGCTAAACTGAGGTCAAGTTCTAAGAGGAAGTGGACAGTGTCCAAGGAGAAAACTGCAACATATTCGGGAAAAGACAAGGTATCCAATCATGGTTTTGGATGGTTTCAGTGCTGTCAAACTTTAATCAATCGTTGACCTTCACAATCTAAACCACCAGTTGTTCCTTCTCATTATTTATACCATTTGCCATTATTGGCATATGAAAACTTATTTATCAGAAATCTGCTTTTTTGGACGCAGAATTCTAAACAATTCGAGGAAAATTTAGTTGGGTCGAGGATTAGAGTGTGATGGCCGATGGATCATGAGTGAGCTCTTAATCCTTCTGTACCTTTAGGGTTGCCTCAATCATTTCCAATACTTATGGTATCTTAACTGCGACTTTGCAGGTTTTATCAAGGAGTCGTAGACTCATATGACTCTTCTCGGGGGAAACATTGGGTAAGTCATAATGCTTGAGAATAATTAATTTGATTGTTAGATGGTAGTTGGGACGTAAAATTGATTTTGGTGAATAAATTAAAGCATAAAGTATCCTTGTCTTTGCTTCACTTTTGATTGTAACAAAGAAATTTAGTTCATCTTATCTCCCAACTTTTGGTGAATTTTATTGGTAGAAAGCCCTTCTATTCTTTAATTCGCAAACCTATGATTTCGAATTACATCTTAATGTTAGGGATTTTGGGAAATTTAAACAAAAAATCATTGGTTACCTATAAAGGAATATACCAAATTTGGAATTCTTGTTTCCCTTTTCAGATAAAATTGATCCATATTTTACTCTTTTTTCTCCCTTGCCATTATATTTTCATTCTTGTACATTTGTTGTCAATTTGTCATTCTATTATATAGGTTCTCTATGACGACAGTGATAAAGAACACTTGTACATGAGGAAAGAGAAATGGAAGTTTGTTGAAGATGCTACAACAGATGAGGTGGTTTATCTATTTGACTCTATTAGCACCATTCACCGTGCTAATGTTGAGGTGGTTCATTCTTTATGGCTTTCTAATGATCTTATCTTATCTTTCCTTTTTGTTTTCTCTCTCTAAAGGAGGAAGTTGACTGTGAGACTAGGTCCAATCCCACACCTTGACCATAAGTTTTTCCTTATCCTCAGTACCTGTTTTAAAACTGTCTAAATAAGTAATGAACTAGAATTTGTAGGATCGAATTGTAACTGTTTCAGCCTCAAAAACTGAAATTAGGAGGCCATGCATCACATGCATGGATTTAGATACATAAGTTGTTTGCAAATTCTAGACTAAAGTTTATAATCAAAAGAAATGAATGGTTTTTGTTTGGTTTATGGATATATTTTTCATCTGGGTTCAAAGGGTCAGAACTCGTAATCTCAAATATGCAAATTGTTGTGCGGCTATATCTCATTGCTCTTTTAATCATATGCTATCTGATAAAACCAGAATCCTGCAACCCCAAATTTTTATTTCTCATATGGAATATGTGGAAAAAGTTGTTTGTGTGATGCACAAATTTTCATGCATCTGCAGTGTTTCTCAAGTTGTTCAAGGGTAAACAAAATTCTGAATGCTTTCATGTTGACCAACTCCTTACAGGCCCGAGAAGAAGGCGGAGAGGAATGGCAAGGGGTCATCCAAGAAACAAAATACAAGCGATAAGAAGTCAGCTACGAAAGGAAAGGCAAGCTCATCTACAAAAAGATTGGTTGTATATACATACAATTACCTATGTATGTATATATTCAGTTAATTACTGTTGTTTCTGCAGCAAACAATTTAGATAACCCTTCTTATCCCATTTGCCTTTTACAGAGCCAAATCTAGTAAGAAATCAAAGGGTGCTGAGAAAGAAAAGAAAGCCGAGAAACAGGAGGATGAAAAAAAGGTTATGAAAAGCAAAGAGGCATAGACTCCGAAGAGTAGGGACAAGTCAGAGATAGAAAGCAACATCAAGTCCAAAGACAAGAGTGCCAACATTGGTGGCAAGATAGTGGCAACTGCTTCTCGGCTGACCAAAAAGTCTAAAATCGGTGAGAAGTCCGAGGAGGATGACCAGAAGACTTCCAAATCCTAGAAATCGAGAAGAAGAAAAGGGAGCAATAATGATCACGACAAACATGATGATGGCTCATCCTTCGACGAAGATGATTCTAAGCCACTGGTGAGCTTACTCAAAAAATCACATGCGACTGTGAAGAATCTAAAGGCAAAACTTAAGGCCAAGGGAGCGGGAGAAGGGATCAAGTGTAAGCGGTAGAGCAGGTCCCGTCCGTAAAACTGGGTTATCTTAGGTGAAAGAATAATTCCAAATCTTTTTTTACTTCCTATCTAAAGTGCAGTTACCAAAAGTTAGTTCTCATAGCAAGAGTTCTAGGACCATTTGTTAAGGGTTTTCTAGTTAAATTTACTATAGGGAAAG